TGCATGGTGTTATCGTTGTCCTTGTGTGATATGCCAACCGCATGTCCATTCAGGTGCTGAAGTGAAGTCCTGTGGTCATTCATACTGTGTCCAGGTGTGTGTGTGCCATTCAGGTTGAGTGGATTGGCACACACTGCAGAAGGATGATTGAGAGAGAAGTAGATGTTGTCCTTTAGCACTCTTGAACCAAGTTTGTTTGGGTGGAGCTCATCCTTTTGAAACAGTTGCCTCTGACTCCAGAAAAGATTGAAGTTGTCAATGAAGTTTACTTCCTTTTATATTGCAGGTTTTCTGCAGCCATGTGTTGAGCCCAAGCAACCGTGAAAACCTGTTTGTTCCTTTTGCTGGGAGTGGTCCACTGATGAATGGCTGAACTTTCAGTCTCCCTGTTTGTGCCATCGATTTGTAAGTCGATCGGCTTGTTTCTCTACACTCAGTATGGCCTGTCGAGGAGGACTAGATTCATGGGACTCACCGGCTGTATGCTGAGGGCGTCCATGACGAAGCTCTGTTGTGTGTTCCGTCTGGTTTGGTGGTCCCACAAATAACTTTGTTTCAAGAACTGCAATCCTTTGTGAAAGTCTCTGGCAGTTAGTGCAGCAAGTAGATTCCAGAAGAGGCATTTTCTCTTATCCTTTTGCAGTTGTGTTTTCCCTTCCCCGGAATTTAAGCTTTCAGTGGGAGGCTGGTCGGAGAAAAGAATTCTGCTTTTTTGTAGTAATCAAGCGTTTGAGCACTGTGCTGATTTGTTGAAGTTAAAATTAGGTGATAAAAGGAGATAAAATTTAAAAATATAGAGCGATTAAAAAATAAAAAAGCGATAGAGCAAAGCGTGGAGCAGTAAGCAAGAGCGTCCGAACAGTAGCTGAACAGGAAGATCCGCGGACCCGTCTCCAACCCCGTAAAGAGATCCTATTCGCGATCCACAGGAATGCATTCTCCGCGCTGCCTCGGCAGATGCGGGTCCTGAACCCTGAGGATCGCGAGCCTGGCCACTTTCCTCGAAAAGCGCCAGGCGAGAGCGGAGCATGCGGAGCAGAAGCATCTCGCAATGCTGGCAATCAGCCCCCTCGAAGGCTGACACCGCATGCTCCACTCCCAAACAAACTACACAAAGCTCGTGTGTGTCCCCACCCGTTAAATAACGCGGGCAGGGAGAAGCACAGAGTTTGTAAAGTTGTTTCGCCATAACTCTTCCCAATAATATCGAACAGACAACAATAAATAGACAAAGACAGAGTAACACAGATCGCTTGCTGAGACACAGAAGCTAATGCCGGTTTGCACCGGATGTGCTTTTATCCCCTCCTGGTCATGACGTCACCCGCCCGTGACGCTCATTCTTTCCATTGGACTAGTTGACATTGATGCTCAGACGCATTCACGCTGGGGGCACTCCCAAAGCGTCGATGACGCATCGCGAGTTCCCTCGAAAGGGAACTACTAACTCTGCGTTCTGTTGGCGGGAAATAGACATTTAAAAATGGTGCCAGTTACTGTGACCTGGTTTCATCTGTTTAGTATTGTAAAATGTTCCAGTACGTAAGTATGACAAATTTTTTTTCACGTGGTCAATTGAAAACAATAAACATTTAACATGTTGACCGGTCTTGTTTTTGTACTTTAAATCAATATAGTGAAATTAATGACCAAATACATGTTAACTGAAGAAAAGGGACATGGTAAGGACAGGAACAACACTTAAACAATACACAATCATTGACACACCATATCTGTGTTAACTGTTGTTAAATTGCGCAAAACAAATAATGTGTTTTGTCTGTATGAAAATCAATGTATGCATAGTGTGTTCTCAGTCCAGTGTCAAAATAAAAAGTAATTTCACAAAATAAGAGTCTCTAGGCACAGTGGTTCACTGTGACACTGAGTTATGGAAATTTGATCCTCTAGCGCAAGTCTCAAACTCAACTTACCTGGGGGCCGCTGGACGTAGAATCTGGGTCAGACTGGGCCGCATCAAGTATTCCACAAAAAAAAAATTATTCAAGTACTCCAAAAAAGGAGAACAACTGATCCAATCTTCTCAATCTTTATTACTAACGTTTCTTCTGACGGCTGCTTCATTCTCTTTCTTTGATTTCTTGAATAAATCTTGTTGCCTCAATAGACATTTTTTTAAGATTGGCTACCCGGTTCTTTCTCTCATCTCCATGGTGTTTTGTATACTCCTCAGCATGTCTAGTTGAGCAATGACGTCTGATGTTATATTCCTTGTTCACCGCAACTTTCTCTGTGCATATGAGACACGTAAATTGCCTGTGCTCTTCGCCAACCTTTCTCTTTTCTCTGGCACGTTTTGAGAGAGACATGACTGGAACTGGGTGATGGCATATATTTTCTGTCCACTTCTGACTAATGTGACTAATGTTGATACCTCCCCAGTATGTTTGTACTTCGCGGTTGTCTATGACAACTATTGACAATAAACCCGCCGTAAGCTGTCACGAGACTATCTATGGCAGCCCATAAGGGCTAAAAAAAAATAATAATAAAAAAACGCGGCACACGCAACGACGGGCCGCACTAACATTAAACTTTAATGTCAAGTAGGGGGCCACACAATTTTTGCATCTGAAAGTTGCACCCAGCGCCAGCATACCCCAAATAAGTGCCATGAATCCGGATGGATGGATGGATTCAAGGTTCATTCAAGGTTTCAGTCAGATCAGTGCACCCATCACCTCTCTCCTGAAAAAAGGGGCCAAGTCTCTGCCCTGGACCACCAAAGCCACCCATGCCTATGAAAGACTCAAGCTTGCCTTCAGCTCCGCTCCTACCCTCGTCTATCCCAACCCTGATCTTCCATTTCTCGTCGATGGATCACCTTGAAGGCAGAAGTGATGTCGACTTTGGCGAGCCAAGCACCATGACCCATGTTTTTTTTATCATATCGATCGCATGATCTATATCATGGTATTTGAGAGAAAATTCATTGAGAGGAATTAAGCTGTTTATGCATTGGAACAAGAAATTTTGCGCCAGATGATGTTTCAAGCCAACTACTCTCCATTTTTCGATGGGAGGTATCGTTGGCTGGGCCGAAAGATAGGAGGATGCCGGGGAGATGTCTTGCTGGTGGGGGCAAGGGTAGTCCACAGCATCTTGACGTGCGCGTGGCGGTTCGAACATGCAATGAAGCTTAGGTGGTAGTATCAGGGGGAGAAGTAGTAGTCATGGGGCTGGCAGATTATGACGGAGGATCCGGAGAGAAGCGGAACTCGTCGTAAGACGGTAAGAGTTCGAGCTGGGGTATTAAGAGGCGGACCAAATGCTGGAAAACTGTCGTGGGACAGAGGTAAGTCTGTCCCCAAAAAAATTGAAAAAAAATAAAATAAAAATGATAACACTTTAATAACTGCACGCTATTAATCATTAGCTATGCATTAGTAAACAGCATTAATAGACATTGATGAGCAGTTTATAAATACAGATATAAATGCTGTATTCTTGATTTCATAAGCATATCTATAATATGTTTAATAATTATATTTTCATATTTAATTAAAGCTCCAGTCCGTAACTTTTTTGGGTTAAAAAAATTGAGCAAGTACATAACCAGCCAGTGTTCAAAACGATCTGCTTGCCTTAGCTCGATTCAAAACGGTAAGCTTGTAATAATGTTTTCAATTCCAGTGGTACTGTTGGATTTCCGCGGGAAATTGGAGCTTGTCTTTGCATCATTACGTCACATCTGTGCACATAAAGAAGGAGTCTCAGCTAGTAGGCTATATTGCGAGTGAGGATGTTGGAGGTGGAGATTTATAGCCTTTTCTCACTGCACTTGCTATAATTAAACTTATTAATTTGATGGCGGATCCAGAAAGGTTCAAACGACAATCACCAGTGACAACTGGAGATTCACCCGTTGTAAAATGCAAAAGACTTTGGACTGAGAGTTTGGAAAAAGAGACTGCAACCGGCCCACGCGAAAACAAGGATAAATATCGGAAGGGCATTAAATGTAGTCAAGCAATGCTGATGTTGTTAACATTAACAATTTGAGAACAAAGTATAATTTTCACGGTTTGGCGTGATATGATAAGCGATCATTAGATTTAATCAGCGCGATTTACTGCAATGCTTTTTTTCCCTTAGTTGGTCAGAACAAACGTGGATGTTACTTACTTGTTCAGATGACATTTTAGGGTGAAAATTCTTATGTTGGTCATACTTCCAAAAAGTAGAATCTGTGATTCCGAATTACAGTATCCACACCAGCACTTCTGGGTTGTATGTCAGAACGTAGGCTCACAATTGCCCAACGCTGGTTATGTGTTTGATGCGTGTGATGCTAGTGAGGCTACGTTCTGACGTACAACCCAGAAGCGCTGCACTGTTACACTACGAGAACTCACTTAGAGGCCCACACAGAAGAAAATGAATAGTTAAATAAAGTCGTCATTTTTGGGGGTTTTGCGCACAAAAAGTATTCTCTTCGCTTGATAAACTTCTGGTTGAGACACTGTTGTCACTTGGACTATTTTAATGATGTCTTTACTAACTTTCTGGGCTGGCAAGTTTCAATTACATAGAAGCCTGAATGAGTGAGACAGCTCTCAGATTTAATAAAAAATATCTTAATTTGTGTTCCGAAGATGAATGAAAGTCTTACAGGGTTGGAACAACATGAGGGTGAGTAATTACTGACAGAATTTTCATTTATGGGTGAACTAACCCTTTAACTAGTGATTAATAGCGTGCAGTTATTATAAAGTGTTACCAAAAAAATTGTTATATGTATTGTGTTTGAGTTAGGGTTAGTTAATTCCAGTTGTATAGAACTTCACTATAAAGGCCCATAATTTTTTACAAATAGAAATATTTGTTCACTGCATTGTAAGTCAATTTGTGAAGTAAGTGCTGGCTAACAACATAATAGAACATTTTTCAATAATTGTGTAAAGAATTGTATTATATATTACAAGTTTCATATTTTATGTACTGTTGGAACTGATGTATTGACAGGAATATGGTTGGCAAATTTAAAAGACAGGTAATGCTTGCAAATCTATTTGCGGGCATAGATTGGCAGTTATTTCAAATTAAGGGTCAAAAAGCCTTTAGAGAGCTTGTTAACACTGCTTTTAATGTTTGTGGTCAAGGCAATTAGCATGAGACCAGTGTCCATATATAGCAAACCAAATCAAACTTTTAGAGAGCACAATGGGAAACATGACAACAGAGGATATGGTAAGGTCTTGTCACTGAAATGGCAATGTGCTACTGTTAGAGAATCTAACATTTGCCTTTTTTTTCCATCTACAGACAGCCTAGCTAAAGACAATTCAAATTAACTTTCTATAACTAGCTTTTCAATTACTTAAATATAATAAAAAGAAAATCTACATAATAACTGCATATCCTTCCAGATGCAGCCACCACTGGAGAATGAGTCCAGTGTCTTAGTATTTACACTCTCTGGTCTGAATGAAACAATGGAAAACAGATTTGTGTTTTTTTCTCTCACTGCACTGTTTTATCCCCTTATGGTGTTTTGTAATGTAACTGTAATTTTCACCATCATACTACATAAGAAGCTTCATGAGCCGATGTATGTGTTTATATGTAATCTCTGCGTAAATGGACTTTTTGGCACTTCTGGATTCTATCCTAAATTCATGTATGATTTATTAGCACACGATCATGTGATTTCTTATGCTGGATGTCTGATTCAAATATTTGTCATTTATTCATCTGCTTTGTGTGAGTTTTCAACATTAACAGTGATGGCATATGACAGATATGTGGCAATATGTAGACCACTTGAGTATCATTCAATAATGACCAATCAGAGGGTTTTTAATTGTATCATTTTCTGCTGGCTGGCTCCATTTGTTTGCATGTCTGTTTTAATTATTTTAATATCTAGACTCACCTTATGTGGCGCTACCATTGAAAAGTTATTCTGTGAGATTTGGGCAGTTGCAAAACTTTCTTGTTTTTCTACAACTGTAAATAATGTGTTTGGGTACATTGTTATTCTTACCTATTTTGGACATGCAGTATTCATATTTTGCTCATACATTCACCTGATTAGAAAGTGTATAAAGTCAATAGAGGGCAGGCACAAATTCATGCAAACATGTGTGCCACATCTGCTTTCATTGATCAATGTGACTGTTGCTTTGCTGTTTGATGTACTGTACAGTCGTTATGGCTCAAAGAAAGTGCCTCAAGGTGTGCGTAATTTCATGGCTCTTGAATTCTTACTTGTACCACCCATTTTAAATCCTCTCATTTATGGACTAAATCTGACAACAGTACGCCAGCAAGTTATGAGAATGTTTTTCAAGAAACAAGTGGGAATATCATAGTGAATATTTTAATATTAGTAAAAATAACATTATGCTTTATTTGTTTTAGAATGAGTGTGACATTTTTTTAAGAATATTTGAAATATTTAGAAGATTTATTTAATGGACATTGTTGTTCTATTATTGATAACATAATGAGACAATAAGTCACAAGAGGTTGCACGTTATAATGATTTCACCATAATTAAGGGGTATTTTTAGGTATGAAATGGGTACCACTTTAGAATAATGGTCCGTCATTAATAAGTAACTATATGTAGGAAGTAATGCAGGACTAATGAGTAGTACTACATTAACACTTTAGGTACTACTATTAAGTAATATAGAAACAAGCTTAACTAATCAGTAAGTAATATCGAATTTAGGACTAAGGATAGTCCCTTATTAGGTAATAAATGATTACTTAATGAGATTGGGATCATTAAGAACTAATATGTAATTGTGACAAATTATAAAGAATTACTAATTAAATACTAATCACAACATGATAGTGTCTGAGACGTTAACAATTGTCTGTTTTTACTCTCAACATGGTTATAAAATGCATCACTAATCAAGTGTTACCTGGTCACTATGCAGGAACTACTAGTGATCTGGACCATTATTTTAAAGTCAAAAAGATATTTTTCACTTTAAAATAATGGTCTAGATCACTAGTAGTTCCTGCATAGTGACTAGGTAACACTTGAGTAATTAGTGATACATTTTATGACTATATATTCAGAGTAAAAATGATGACTGATTATGTCTCAGACACACAATAATGTTCTTTATAATTGGTCAGTTAGTTAATAGTTATTAATGAGACTAATCTCATTAACTAATTGTTGGTTACCTAATAAGGAACTCTCTCCTAATTTTGATATTACTTACTGATTAGTTAAGCTTGTTTCTATATTTGTTAATCTTAGTAGCTGAAGTGTTAATGTAATAATACTCATTAGTCTTGCATTACTTTCTGCATAGTTACTTATTAATGACGGACCATTATTCTAAAGTGTTACCATGAATTGGAGTAGATGGATTTAAACCCCCTTAGCCACTATAAAATCTCTGTACTGCACAGCCTTGACAACACAACTGTTTGGAAGAACAAAAAAAATTATAATTTTTATTTTGGGGTGAATTTTTCTTGCATTCAGGTGCACTCAGTCAATGTTTGTTCATGTAAAATAAAACATTCATATAAAGTGCTGTTCAAAACCTGTCTATGTGTGTGTATGTGTTTTGACCATAAAATATTTTGAATACCATAAAAGTGTGATGCCTAGATCACATGCTTTTCCATTTCTTTGCCTTGCATACGGTCATTCTCCCACTCACTGCCATATCATCAAATTGGGGATTCAAGGGATGCAAACAGGGCTGACAAAGACCTATAGCAAGTATATGTTTCTATAGTAATGTCCCAAGCTGAATTAAAAGTTCTAAAGTTGTGCTTTCAAATTAGTAATGGCCACTTGAGTGCAGGTTACACAATTTTTATAAATGCATAAAGTCTGTATTAGGGTTACAGTCACCGCCCCACAGGTGGGACGTTTGTCATTATATTTTTAAAACAATAATATCTTAGTAAAAACCTTAAGTAATATTGACAAACTATATATCGTTTGAACGCTTACAATCTCTAGTTTCCATATTTGGTGACTGATTTTCAAAATAAATTACAGAGGAGCCGTAATTTATCAATTTGCAACAATAATATTTTCATACTCGTGTTCAGACCTTTATTTTGAAATAGCAATGAACATGAAAAATCATGAAAAAATGGTAGAAACCTCAGTTTGTTTTCATGCCAAGAGTTCAAAAGATAGCATCCATTCAATTATTTTAGAAAAAAAGGTCTGAATGTTTTAAATATAAAGAAAAAAATAATAAATTCACCATTTGTGATGTGGCAGTGAGCTATGATGCACATGCATGTTCTTTGTATGGGTTTCTTAGAGGTTGAATTCGTATCAAAATCTACCAAACTTCCCATACTTCTGAATAGGATCTCTACTTCATAAATTGTATGAAAATTGTGGAAATAATGGTTCAGATCACTCAAAACACATATGGAAATGGAGGCGCCCTTATATGGGCAGTAATGGAGTCTGGTTCTGACCTAGTGAAAAAGTTTGGTACTGCGCCCAAACAAAATTTTACTGAAAGCTCATTTTTTGAGATATCAACCTAAAATTTGAAACACAACTTGTTCAGATTTTTGGCTTTGATTTTTCTGTAGTTTTAGAGTAGCCCAGGTTTTGAAAATATATATTTTATATAAAATATGAATAATTATTTTTTTTACATTGTACATTTCCATAAACTCAAACTTCTATAATTTTTTTCTGTTTCACTTTCTTAATTTATTTCACTTCTACAAAAATCTGCCAAATGTCTTCTTTAAATAAGACCAATCTTACGTCTATATTCCAATTCCATTCTTGAATTACAACCATTTAAGTTCAAAATGTGCATTTTCATGTCTATTCAAAAAAAGGGGGGTGACACTTAACAGGTTAACGCTTAAAGGGATAGTTCACTAAAAAAATGAAAATTTTGTCATCGTTTAATCACCTTCAAGTTGTGCCAAAACTGTATACATTTCTTTGTTCTGCTGAACACAAAGGAAAATATTTGATAGAATGTGGGACACTGAACAGTTTTGTGGCACCATTGAATTTTTATAGTAATTATTTTCCTATGGAAGTCAATGGTGCAACAAAAACGGCTTGATTACAAACTTTCTTCAAAATATCTCCGTTTGTGTTCAACAGAACAAACATTTTTATATATTTTTGGAATAACTTGAGGATGAGTAAATGATGACAGAATTAAAAAATTTCGGTGAACTATCCCTTTAAATGCATGCCAATCATTATTACATATCTGGGTCTTTAGCGTCCCACATCTATATCTAACACGGATGGATCCCTGTCGCGATAATATAAAAAACTCAATCAGAAAAAAACAGTCTCGACTAGTCTAACCACGAACGACGTGCTAAGTGAGCTGAACTGTATGAAGTTCAGTGAACTTCTGAACTGTATGAATGGCGTTCGTGGTTTGACTAGTCGAGACTGTTTTCCAAAGATGGCTCCTGTCTGTATACACGAAGTGGACTGTCTTTATCTTTATCTTCTTATTAAACGGTCTGTTAAACTTACAAAGTTCCCAATGCTTCGTTTTGCATGTAGGGACCCTCATTATGTTACTGTGTTAGTGTGGGGCTATTTTGAGCCTTGTTAGTGGTATTAATTATTAAATGCCCCCATTACTAGCGTTATACGCTAAACAGTTTTTATAGATAAAACTCTTTACATTCGATTATCATGAAAACAAATCTCAGAGAACGGTTGACTAGGTACCAATGTTTTATTAGACCAAAGGTTCATTTTGCGCCGGAGTTCTCCTTTAAAGCTTTCTAAAGACATCTCTCATGTTTGTGCGGCAAGTATTCGCTGAGTTCATTTACAGACGCATTTCAGAATGGATTTCACTGAGAGAGAGAGAGAGAGAGAGAGAGAGAGAGAGAGAGAGAGAGAGAATGCACATTGTGTTTGTTTTCTTTATTTTGTGAAAAGCACAACATTTTGTTATTATTGTGAGTGTACACAAAGAAAAGGAGACACTTAATGATGTATGATCATTAAGACACTTAATGATGTATAACACTAATCTGTATGACCAAAATCGATGGAGTATTTTGAGTCTCTTTCACACTGATAAGAAAGAAATAACGAGGTGTGCATGCCGGGACCTCCGCATAATTTATGTAATGCGGAACTACCGTTAAATACGGGGTTCTTTAGGGACACCTAATCTGTAACGCCGCTTTAGCTCTGAAGCTCTGATTGGTGCCGATGCAGCCGAGCTCCGCCTATCTATGCGCTCTATCAGAGCCTGTCTACATTCTCTGGCACTCTGCCGTTTTTTGTTAGGTCGACGGTCCAGTGAGTGAGTGAGTCAGAGATATCAGCGACAGCGAGTATGGCAAGTGGCGGTGTTCCACAAGAGCTAGAGGATCCGCCGGCTTCTTTAAGATCGCAAGTTTGGGAAAACTTCGGTTCCCTATCAAGGCTACGGAACTTCGACATTACGGATGTCGTATATGGGAACTCCTCTCCTCCTTCACTTCCGCTGAATTCTTATAGGCTAACGCCAGCAGAGCTGGCCAATTGACGCAAATATGCAAATACTGAATCATGCAGTATAAATACAAATGCAGCGTCAATTCCATTCAGAATCTCTCTCTTCACGCTCAAATCGTGTGCTAGAAAGCTGATACTCCAATATTGAACTACAAGGATTTCTCGCTGTCGTTGAAGGTGCGCCGGAGATATGTACACTGTCTCCAGCATCCGATGGCGACCATCTGCAACCTGTGCTCGGGCCCCATCGTGCCCCCAGACACGCACCTGTTCTGCGTCGCGTGCATGGGGCTGGCCCATGCTGAATCAGCCCTCACGGATGGAGGGTCCTGCGACTTCTGTGCAGACATGTCTCTCCGAGCCCTCAAAGCTAGGCGGGAGAAAGCTCGCGCAGCAGCGGGGATTGGGCCTGCTGCCGCCACTGAGCCGCTGGCAGGCCCCCCCCCCCCCCCCCCCCACAACCGCGGGATCGAGGTTCGTCCCCCGGTGAGTTTCCCCGACCCCGTTTTTCTACCCCCTCGTGAGGTCGCGGACTTCGTGTCCTTCGGGGCAAGCGAGGAGGACGACTCCATGTCTCTGTCGGCCTCTGAGAACGACTAGGGTGCGGAGCAGGCCGCTCCGCGGGCTTCCGTGGAACAAGAAACCCTGGCGGACCTGCAGGATGAGCTTTTCCGCATTCTCTCGAAGGCCGTTGAGTAACTGGACCTAGCATGGATTGCTCCTGATGAACCATCTAAGAGCAAGTTAGATACGTGGTTCCTCCAATCGAGCCGCCGTCAGGCCGCTTCGAGAAGAGGGACACCGTTCTTCCCCGACGTTCATGAACACGTGGTGAAGGCATGGGCGGCCCCGCAATCGGCGCGC